TTGTGTTTGAGTAATATTTCAATTTTTTTTTTTCAAAATAGGCAACTTATATAATTTTTTTTCGTAATTATTAAAATGTTTTAAACATTTTTTCCATGTTTCTAGTTTATTTCTCTCGGGCGCGAGTTCTGATACACCCTGTATTTATAAATTTTTGCGAAAATTTATCAACTGGATTTGATAAAATATCGTTTGTTACAAAATACTCTGTACTATTTTAACAAAAAAATAAATCAATTTTGACAAATATTAATTATACAGATGGGTTGAACCAATCACGCAGTAGAAATCGTATTTCTTAAGTAATCGAAAAAAAATTGTAAACTTAAAGAAAAGTTGGAATAAAATTATCCGGAAACAAAATCGATTTTAAATTTAAATAAAGTTTTTATCCGGAAGAATTTGGTTCCAAACTCCGTTTAATCCGGAATTGACTTTCTTCTTTTGTTGATATTCTCGGAAGCGTTAAAAATCCATTTTTTCTTCGTACTTGAAGGTAGTCTGTTACGTAACGTAAAAGACATATCATTGAAATCAAAAGTAAACATTGACAAATCAAAGAAAAATGTAAAAAAATGTTTATGTTTAATTTCTTTAATAAAACATTGCATTAAAATTTTCAAATTATCCGAAAAGGGTCCAGTCCACTATAGGCCGAAAAATCGGGGTTCTACTGTTTTTCACTACGATTTAATTGCTCAATTTCTGAAATTGTCAAAATGACCTTTTCAACAAGTGTTTTGGTCCCGTCATACCCGAAATATTGGTATTGGCAATCCAGAGATAAAAAACATGCCACAATTTCATATTTCACTTCTCAAATACACCACTTTTCAGTTCTTCACCGCTTTCAACTTTTATTCTCCTAGTCTAAAATCCATTATACCTCTCTTTTGTCACCCCTACAATCACTGTACATTCCCACGCACCTTTATTTCCGTCCCAGGCAACCGTCATGTACCCTACCCGGAGCCAACTTCCTGGTCTGTTCCCGGAGTCCGATAATTCGGTTCGAACGCGTTTCAGTTTCGCGCTCGAGTGTGCAACAAGAGCCGCGTTAATGCCGCTTCGCTAATATTTCAGTTTTGTCATGTCGGGTCGACACAGCTGAACTGGCAATTAATCGCCGTTTTTTTCCAATTTTTCCGATGACAAACGGACATTCCCTCACGTACCAAATCGGTCGGATCTCACGCGACCTCACAACACAGGTGGAGACAACACATAATCATCGTTCTTCATTGTTTTAAAGGAAAGGTCGTTTCGGTCTTTGTGTACGATAAAAGTCAAGGCTGTGAACGCATATGCGACAAAAATGAATGAACTCCCCTTCAGTGAATGGCGTTGGAAAGAAAAGCACGGATTACCTTGGCGGCACCGAGGCGAATAAATATTATCGTAATTACAGATTTAATTTATTGGGATGGGTCGTGTAAATATTATTGTTTGCTTTATTATTATGGGGCGGGTGCGGCATTTGATAGTGCCATGTGGGATTTTTATTAGAGACTAACGGGCGATTTCACTAGAAATTCTGAATATTTGTTTTCAATATCATGAGTGGGGATTTTATTACGTGTCTGAATAACTAAACAAATACAGAAAACTTATCGGATTTTTCATAAAAATAGAATCAAGCTTAATTTTCGGTTTAAAGATCTCGTGTTAAATTTACTCAAGATAATAAAGTGAAGATTCAAATATTTGTCAGGAAAGATAACTCGCATTTTTAAAAATAGTAGCAAAATGTAATAAAAGGTCAAACTGATTTAACGGTACGGTCTAAAAAAATACCATGAGTTAGCACAAATTTAATAAATAAAAACAAACACACAAAAATGAAGAAAAAATTACTATTCACCAAAAGTGTTCTCTCCACTTGTAGCCAATGTCAATTTCGTTGTAGCATTTTTATTGGAATAATTTATGAATTAATTATTATGCAAGAGACATTATGAGGCAAAAGCAACCCTCACTTTGGCAATCCCGCCTTGAAAATGATTGATAAGGGAAAAAGTGTCAGTTTTTTGACGAACATGTCGACATTGAATGATTTCCTCTCGAAGAAGCACCTCTCAAAAATATAAAACGCAAACATTCGAATTTTCCCTTGAAAAAACATGGGGAAATTGATGGATCACCCCATTTCCGCCTAAAAAAATTACTTTTTTTAATCACCGCTCTTATAATTGATGTGCATACAGAGATTTGATCGATTATAATCAGCAAGGAAAATGGAGTGACATCACGATTTAGCGCCGTTGTGACAGTTGAGTGACATGAATGGAATTTTTAGGAACCTCTTTGGCCAACAATACACGAAATTATCTCTCGTGTTTTGTGAAAAACTGGAT